GGATAAAGTCCCATGAATCGGTAGGGAACTTCATCAATGCGAGCGCGAGCGTGTTCTCGGTAAACGTATCTAATAAGTGGTGAAGAGCCTCGGCCGACTCCGCCTTCAATGGCTTTGCATCGATTATCGAATTCAAGTGATGGTCCGCTAACTTTCTCTTATTCCGGTATCGATCTACCAGCGAGTCGTAAGCGATCAGATAGTACTCCTCGGAAAACGGCAGGTTTTTCACCACGTTAAGTGGTTCCCCTTTGAGCGAGGCTAGCAGATACTGGTATTTCTCTATCGCGGAAATCTGCTGGTTGTGTATCGACGCGTTGAACAACGCGATGAAGAAAGGCCACAACGTGAGGTCGCCGGAAAACTGCGGTAGCGGGATCTTAGGCAACTTGACCACCGAGGCCTGACACGAGAGCGGTGCCGGCGCGCCTCCGAGTGGCGCGCCCGTTTCATGATGATAGCGACTCTTTACGGCGTAATGCATCTTATCGAAACTGGCTCGGATTTCGTCCTCGACATCGAAATCCGCCGCTTCTTGGATGACCTTCAGGTGGGTGACCTCAAAATCGTCCGCGATCTTCGCTACGCTCGAGTAACGAGCGAGGAAGGTCGCTCGGATTGCCGCGTCGGTCGCGGCTTGTAGGGAGAGGTCGTGTATTTCTCGCATACGCCGATTGCATACTTCGCGACGAGCATATGCGTTTTTCGACATGATGTAACAAAGGGGTCGTCCACAACAGACAGACGAAGCTAAGAGCAAAAGAAGAACGGCGAATAGGTAATCGGAGGCGATGGCAACCCGAACCAACAATATCGAAACCCGGCTAAACAAACACGAAAGTCAGGTCGCCAAGGTGAGGGATAACGGACTGCTCCGTTCGATGCTCGCGCAAGTCACGAGGGAATATTCTTGGTAATATTCCTCGAGTTGAACGTGGAGAATACCAGCCGCCGGATTAGCGCGATAAACAAAGATGCGATCCGACTCGCGGACGTCAGGAAACGCGTCGCAGAACTCGAAAGGCAAATATTCTCGATTGACGACAATAATATTCTCGAGCGATGGTACTCTCGCACGGATCACGAATGTCGGGATAATACAAGTGTTGGGTCGGGCTGTACGTCACCTCGCAACGACGAAAACACGAGCGATGCCTGAGACTATACGGAAAAACAATGCGCACGTGACCGGCCCGTGATCGAAGGCCACGGCCGTTGTCTATGATGCGAAAGTATCGCTGGCCTGGAATACTCGGATATTCGACCGAATATTTCGGTTACGATCTAGCCAATTATATGGCGACTAATTACCGCGTCGAGCGCGGAATCGATTTTAAGGCGACTAACGGCTGCGGCCCGTGCTATGACGAACGAAGTTCGCGCGCGTATTCCCGTTGCGAAGCGAGCGTTGCACGAGAGATACCGCGCGAGACGCGAGTTGTCAGCACGCCGAGCGTTATTGCACCTCGTTGATGCGAGAACAAATAATCAGCGAATTCGCGTAAATTACCGATGGCTAATGGCCGATTGCGCGATGCTACGCGAGTATTCCCTTCGCGAAACGAGCGTTGCGAAACGGGAGACCCGCAAGGCCACGCGCTATTGCACTACGCGTTACATAACACAAGATTCGGTGACTTAGAACAATGAAAGGACACGCGAAAGGGCGGCGGCAATAGACTAATCGCGAAGATATGACTATCCGGCTCGAAGGACCAGATGCTCGGGGGGCGGTAGAACCGTACCCGGATTTGCGATAAAGCGAAGCTCGAAGGACCAGGGGTGTGTGTAAAGTCTCCCCAAAGCGAATTAAGTTAAGCAAATGCGACTCACCGTTCGTTGTGCCGTCGACTCCTGGATGCTTCGTCTCTCGGTCACGAT